TCACCATCACATCATCGTCACCATCACAACGCCATCGTCACCATCACAACATCATCGTCACCATCACAACATCATCGTCACCATCACATTCATCGTCACCGTCACAACCTCATCGTCACCGTCACAACATCATCGTCACCGTCACATCATCGTCACCGTCACAACATCATCGTAACCATTACAAACCCTCATCGTCACCATCACAACAACACCATCACAACATCATCGTCACCATCACATATCATCGTCACCATCACAACGTCATCGTCACCATCACAGCATCAATATCGTCACCATCACAACGTCATCGTCACCATCACATCATCGTCACCATCACAACATCATCGTCACCATCACAACGCCATCGTCACCATCACAACATCATCGTCACCATCACAAACACCATCGTCACCGTCACAAACATCATCAATATCGTCACCATCACAATATCATCGTCACCATCACAACGCCATCGTCACCATCACAACATCATCGTCACCATCACATCATCGTCACCGTCACAACCTCATCGTCACCGTCACAACATCATCGTCACCGTCACAACATCGTCACCATCACAACATCATCGTCACCATCACAACCCCATCGTCACCGTCACAACATCGTCACCATCACAACATCATCACCATTACAACCTCATCGTCACCGTCACAACATCATCACCGTCACAACATCATCGTCACCACAACCTCATCGTCACCGTCACAACATCACCGTCACCATCACAACATCGTCGCCGTCACAACATCATTTCCTCCAAGTCACCATCACAACCTCATCGTCACCGTCACAAATATCGTCAACACCATCACAACATCATCGTCACCATCACTACCCTCATCGTCACCGTCACATCATCGTCACCATCACAACATCATCGTCACCATCACAACATCATCGTCACCGTCACAAAATCATCGTCACCATCACAACATCATCGTCACCATCACAACATCATCGTCACAGTCACAACATCATCGTCACAGTCACAACATCATCGTCACCATCACAACATCATCGTCACCATCACAACCTCATCGTCACCGTCACAACATCATCGTCATCGTCACAAACATCATCGTCAGCCATCACAACATCATTGTCACCGTCACAACATCATCGTCACCATCACAACATCATCTTCACCACACACACGTCACCGTCACAACCTCATCGTCACCGTCACAACATCATCGTCACCATCACAACATCATCGTCACCGTCAGCAACATCATCGTCACCATCACAACATCATCTTCACCATCACAACATCATCGTCACCGTCACAACCTCATCGTTACCGTCACAACATCATCGTCACCATCACAACATCATCGTCACCGTCACAACATCATCGTCACCATCGCCAACATCATCGTCACCAACACAACCCTCATCGTCACCGTCACAACCTCATCGTCACCGTCACAACATCATCGTCACCGTCACAACATCATCGTCACCGTCACAACATCATCGTCACCATCACATCATCGTCACCATCACAACCTCATCGTCACCGTCACAGCATCATCGTCACCGTCACAACATCATCGTCACCGTCACAACGCCATCGTCACCATCACAAACGCCATCACCATCACAACATCATCGTTACCATCACAACATCATCGTCACCATCACATCATCGTCACCGTCACAACCTCATCGTCACCGTCACAACATCATCGTCACCGTCACATCATCATCGTCATCGTCACAACATCCTCGTCACCATCACAACCTCATCGTCACCGTCACAACATCACCCATCACAACATCATCGACACCATCACAACCTCATCGTCATCGTCACAACATCATCGTCACCGTCACAACATCATCGTCACCGTCACAACATCATCGTCACCGTCACAACATCATCGTCACCGTCACAACATCATCGTCACCATCACAACATCATCGTCACCATCACAACCTCATCGTCACCGTCACAACATCACTGTCACCATCACAACATCATCGTCACCGTCACAACATCATCGTCACCATCACAACATCATCGTCACCGTCACAACCTCATCGTCACCATCACAACATCATCGTCACCATCACAACATCATCAATAATACCGTCACAACATCATCATCGTCACCATCACAACATCATCGTCACCGTCACAACCTCATCACCGTCACAACATCATCGTCACCATCACAACATCATCGTCACCATCACAACATCACGTCACCATCACAACATCACGCATCACAAAATCATCGTCACCATCACAACATAATCGTCACCATCACAACATCATCCCCATCACAACATCATCGTCACCATCACAACATCATCACCATCACAACATCATCGTCACCATCACAACATCATATCACCGTCACAACATCATCGTCACCATCGCAATATCATCGTCACCATCACAAAAGATCATCACCATCACAACATCATCGTCACCATCACAACATCATCGTCACAGTCACAACATCATCACCATCACAACATCATCATCAAATACCATCACAACATCATCACCATCACAACATCATCATCACCATCACAACATCATCGTCACCATCACAACATCATCGTCACAGTCACAACATCAATTCCATCACAACATCATCAGTCACCATCACAATATCATCACCATCACAACATCATCATCACCATCACACATCATCACCATCACAACATCATCGTCACCATCACAACATCATCGTCACAGTCACAACATCATCGTCACCATCACAACATCATCGCCTGTACCATCACAACATCATCGTCACAGTCACAACATCATCGTCACCGTCACAACCCTTAATGTCACCGTCACAACCTCTCATCGTCACCGTCACAACATCATCGTCACCATCCCAACATCGTCGTCACAGTCACAACTCATCGTCACCATCACGACCAACACCATCACAACATCATCGTCACCATCACAACATCATCGTCACCATCACAACATCATCGTCACAGTCACAACATCATCGTCAAATTAATCACAACATCATCGTCACAGTCACAACATCATCGTCACCATCACAACATCATCGTCATCAATATCACAACATCATCGTCACCATCCCAACATCATCGTCACAGTCACAACTTCATCGTCACCATCACAACATCATCACCATCACAACATCATCGTCACAGTCACAACATCATCGTCACCATCACAACATCATCGTCACAGTCACAACATCATCGTCACCATCACAACATCATCGTCATCATCACAACATCAACGTCACCATCACAACATCATCGTCACAGTCACAACATCATCGTCACCATCACAACATCATCGTCACCATCCCAACATCATCGTCACAGTCACAACTTCATCGTCACCATCACATCATCACCATCACAACATCATCGTCACCATCACAACATCATCGTCACCATCACAACAACATCATCGTCACCATCACAACATCACCGTCACAGTCACAACATCGTCACTATCACAACATCATCGTCGCAGTCACAACATCATCGTCACCATCACAACACCATCGTCACCATCACAACATCATCGTCACAGTCACAACATCATCGTCACAGTCACAACATCATCGTCACCATCACAACATCATCGTCACCATCACAACATCATCGTCACCACATCACAACATCATCGTCACAGTCACAACATCATCGTCACCATCACAACATCATCGTCACCATCACAACATCATCGTCACAGTCACAACATCATCGTCCCCATCACAACATCATCGTCACCATCACAACATCATCGTCACAGTCACAACATCATCGTCACCATCACAACATCATCATCACCATCACAACATCATCGTCACAGTCACAACATCATCGTCTTCTCTTCCACTTACCTCCTTCAGAATCGTATCCGAAGTTGATAAAGCTTGGGCTTGTTGATCACATAACAAGACAAGTTGATTTTGAGGCCCACAAGTTATTGTTTACCTTCTTCTCACAGATATGAAACATATTAATATTTATAAAGGAGGATCTGACATAGGAATTTCTTGGTTTAAAGTTTATGGCCCATGTTGGCGGTGTTCGTACGCGGCCAATATCAGGGAGCAGCGATTTGTCGGAGCTCCACTCAGGGACAATATTTGGAAAATGGTGGCTGGAGAGCCCAAAACTTTAGTCAAACAACTGCGCCCTGATTGGTCCACACCGATCAATGTTTGTCTCAACACGCTGCTGATTGGCTAAAAGGCGGAGCTTGGTTCGGAGGGCGGAGCCACACTGGAGACTGGCCAATGAGCGTGCAGTATTTTAAGGGTCGATGGGCGGTGCCTGCTACCGCAGACGGTTATTCTTAAGTTGGTATCCAGAGTTAAAGGACATTAATCATTCGTGAGCCGCGGGAGACAGCAAGCGCAGGGCCGCTAGTGTTGTGACTGTGTGTGACCAACACGTGTTGTGGCGCTGCTCACTCAAGCTATGGACACTGTGTGTGGGCGTGAGTCCTCGGTATCGCCGCCTACGGTGGTGGCGCCCGTGGCCGTCAAACCTCCGACTTTGAGCGACGCCCACGCGGTGGCTGTACCCACAGATCAGCAGCGCCTGCTGTATCAGCTGGCCCTGGCCGAGCGGCTGCGTCTGGCCTCCGCTGGTCTGGCCTGGGCCAGACCTCCGCTCTCAATCCACCACCACCATCTTCAGGAGGCCGGTATGGGCGGCATAATGGGCGGTATCATGGGCAGTCATCTGATGGGTGGCCTTGGATCTTCTCTTATGGGCGGTCTTGGGTCCGTCGGGCTGGGCGGTGCGCTGATGGGCGGCCAGGGAGGTCCGCCGCCCGCGGCCTACCCGCCGCCCCACCCGTTGTACGGCTACCGCCTCATGGACCCACGCGTCCTCCTGCCCCGGGGACCAGAGGAGCCCAAGCCCCAACACTCCTACATCGGCCTCATCTCCATGGCCATCCTCAGCAGCCCCGACAAGAAGCTGGTGTTGAGCGACATCTACCAGTACATCCTGGACCACTACCCGTACTTCCGCTCCAGAGGACCCGGCTGGCGCAACTCCATCCGTCACAACCTCTCCCTCAACGACTGCTTCATGAAGTCAGGTCGTTCAGCCAACGGGAAGGGCCACTACTGGGCCATCCATCCTGCTAACATCGACGACTTCCGGCGAGGAGACTTCCGCCGACGGCGAGCTCAGCGCCGCGTCAGGAAGCACCTGGGACTGGCCGTCGACGACGACTCTTCCCCGGAGCCGCCGTCCCCGACTCCCTCCCTCACCGCCGCCTACGACTCACCCACGGCAATCCTACATCAACACACCACCGCCCTCACCGCCTCAGAGGAAGGTTCACCGTCACAGGCGTCCCCAGGGTCACTACCTCAGCCTCCTGTTGCCCGCAAGCGACAGTTCGACGTGGCCAGTTTGTTGGCCCCCGACGATAAACTGCCCAAGACTCGCCGCCACACTAGTGACCTTGTCCAAGACGCCAGCCTCGACCTCAGTGAGATAGATGTTGTGAGCGACGACCCTGGGGACGACTCCAGACCCCACGCCGCCACCTCCTCGTCTCCCACGCCTGTTGTCCACGACGACGATGATGATGATGACGACGACGATGACGACCATCGTCCGTGGTCTTTGCTGGGTTGGGTTTCTGGAGCTCCTTGGCAGCTTCCTTCGTCGACGAGGAACGACGACTCCGAACCGCGCCCCACACATGACCCTCCACCCGCCCAATGAAATTTCCCACACCAAGGGAGGTGACCTGCTGCTTCCCACACTAGGGGTGATGACCTGCTGTGACCTGCTGCCTCTCACACTAGGGGCGAAGAACTGCTGTGACCTGCTGCCTCCCACACTAGGGGCGATGACCTGATGTCTCCTACACCAGGGGTGGTGCCTGCTGCCTCCTTCACTAGGGCATTGACCTTCTACTGCCGCTACACACAGGACGGTGACCTCCTACAAGAGGAAATTGACCCGCTGCCACCTGCAGGAGGAGGAATAGCTGTGGGCGGCTCGGCTGTGATACTCTGTATATATATATAGGCCTATATATGTTATGTATGTTGACTATGTGATGTATTTATTAATTTTATGAACTGTGTAAAAGGAAATAAAATGTGTTATGACGACTTGACTACTATTATTTACCTCTTCTTTTCAGTCATATTATAAATATTAACATGAAGAAATAATACAGAAATAATTTTGAAATTTTTCCTGGTAGCAACATAATAACATTTAAATTTTTTGAAGTCTCCGTGTGTCTATAATGATAATTAATTGGCATCTGCACTCAGCATTATTTATACTAAACACACATACACACAGAATTTAAATAATGCTTTATATATACAAGGTGATCGGAAACTACCTTTGCACCTACAATAAATAAAAATATATTTATTTACCTTGTTCTTACAGTAAATATTGAAAATGATCACAATAAATTCTGGAAATGGATACAACAATGTATACATATAACAAAAAACAACTATATATTGTTAGTTATTACAGGTGCACAGGGACTAGTCGATCACCCTGTACATTGCATAATAATCTAAATTTACAGAAGTTTTTATCTCCTGCTGCTAATTTACTGTTTCATTAACGGCGATCACTCAACACTCGTGGAACTTGATTTGGATAATATTTCATCTCTTATTTGTTTAATTCAGAAACATCATCACAGGAGCCAACACAAAGGTTACTACATGGTCTTCAGAATGATATCAACACAAGAAGCAACTGAGACCTGCTGTGTATAGCGACAGAATTGATCGTGTGATGATCAAACACCCTAAAGCGACCTATGATGGGGGGCTAATGATCTGGCAAGTATCAACTTTCACCCACATTGGTTCCTGCTTAACCTAACCTATTCTTGCCATAGTTAGTTCAGTTCAAGGTATACAGGCTTGTATTGGTTTAAATTTGTTGGGGTAAGTATGTGAGTCACGTGGGAATTATAATATACCCTACGGCCTAATCACACACACACACACACACTTAACAACCTTTGAATATGTTAATTTCGGTACACAGTAACACTTAACATATATACCAACACACGAAAATACTAAACATATATATAAATATATATATATATATATATATATATATATATATATATATATATATATAATATATATATATATATATATATATATATATATATATATATATATATATATATATATATATATATATATATATATATATATGTATCAAGACTAACACATAACATTTATACCAACGCTAAATATATATACCAACACTAAACATTTGTACCAACATTAAACATTTATACCAACACTAAACATTTATACCAACACTAAACATTTATACCAACACTAAACATATATACCAACACTAAATATTTATACCAACACTAAACATATATACCAACACTAAACATTTATACCAACACTAAACATTTATACCAACACTAAACATTTATACAAAAACTAAACATTTATACCAACACTAAACATTTATACCAACACTAAACATTTATACCAACACTAAACATTTATACCAACACTAAACATTTATACCAACACTAAACATATATACCAACACTAAACATATATACCAACACTTAACATTTATACCAACGCTAAATATATATACCAACACTAAACATTTATACCAACACTAAACATTTATACAAAAAATAAACATTTATACCAACACTAAACATTTATACCAATACTAAACATTTATACCAACACTAAACATATATACCAACACTACATATTTATACCAACACTAAACATTTTTACCAACACTAAACATATATACCAACACTAAATATTTATACCAACACTAAACATTTTTACCAACACATAACATTTATAGAAACACTAAACATATATACCAACACTAAACATTTTTACCAACACATAACATTTATACCAACGGTAAATATATATACCAACACTAAACATTTATACCAACATTAAACATTTATACCAACACTAAACGTATATACCAACACTAAGCATACATACCAACACTAAACATATATACCAACACTAAACATTAAACCAACACTAAACGTTTGTACAAAAACTAAACATTTATACAAAAACTAAACATTTATACCAACACTAAACATTTATACCAACACTAAATATTTATACCAACACTAAACATTTTTACCAACACATAACATTTATAGAAACACTAAACATATATACCAACAATAAACATTTACTGTATACCAACACTAAACAATTATACAAACACTAACACTAAACATTTATATCAACACTAAACATACATGCATACAATCACTTTGCATATATACAAAAACTAAACATATAAAAACACTAAACATATATATAAACACTAACGCTAAACATTTATACCAACACTAAACGTATATACCAACACTAAACATATATACCAACACTAAACATTTATACCACCACTAAACATTTTTACCAACACAACATTTATAGAAACACTTAACATATATACCAACAATAAACATTTACTGTATACCAACACTAAACAATTATACAAACACTAACACTAAACATTTATACCAACACTAAACATACATACAATCACTAAGCATATATACAAAAACTAAACATATATACAAACACTAAACATATATATAAACACTAACGCTAAACATTTATACCAACACTAAACGTATATACCAACACTAAACATTTATAACAACACTAGACATATGTGCAAATATTAAACATATATGCAAACACTAACAATAAACATTTATACCAACACTAAACGTATATACCAGCACTAAACATTTATACCAACACTAAACATATGTGCAAACATTAAACATATATACAAACACCTACACTAAACGTTTGTACCAACACTAAACATTTATACCTGCTCTAAACATTTATACCATCACTAAACGTATATACCAACACTAAACATTTATACCGACACTAAGCATATGTGCAAACATTAAACATATATACAAACACTAAACATATATACAAACATATATACAAACACTAAACATATATACCAACACTAAACATTTATACCAGCACTAAACATATGTGCAAACATTAAACATGTTTACAAACACCAACACTAAACATATGTGTAAACATTAAACATATACACAAACACTAAACATATATACAAACACTAAGCATATATAAAACTAAACATATATAAAAACACTAACACTAAACATTTATACCAGCACTAAACATTTATACCAACACTAAACATATATACAAACGCTAAACATATATATAAACACTAAACACTTATACCAACACTAAACATATAAAAACACTAACACTAAACATTTATGCCAATACTAAACATATATACAAACACTAAACATTTATACAAACACTAAACATTTATACCAACGCTAAATATATATAAAAACACTAACACTAAACAATATACCAACACTAAACATTTATACTAACACTAAACATATATACAAACACTAAACATATATACAAACACTAAACATTTATGCCAACACTAAACATATATACAAACACTAAACATTTATACAAACACTAAACATTTATACCAACGCTAAACATATATAAAAATACTAACACTAAACAATATACCAACACTAAACATTTATACTAACACTAAACATATATACAAACACTAAACATATATACAAACATTAAACATATATAAAAACACTAACACTAAATATTTTACCAACACTAAACATATATACAAACACTAAACATTTATACCAACACTAAACATATATACAAACATTAACACTAAACATTTATACCAACACTAAACATTTATACCAACACTAAACATATATACAAACACTAAACATTTATACCAACACTAAACACATATACCAACACTAAACATTTATACCAACACTAAACATTTATACAAACACTAAACAGTTATACAAAAACTAAACATTTATACCAACACTAAACATTTATACCAACACTAAACGTATATACCAACACTAAGCATACATACCAACACTAAACATATATACCAACACTAAACATTTATACCAACACTAAACATATATATCAACACTAAACATATATACCAACACTTAACATTTATACCAACACTAAACATATATACCAACACTTAACATATATACAAATATAAACATTTATACAAAAACTAAACATTTATACCAACACTAAACATATATACCAACACTAAACATTTATACCAACACTAAACATTTATACCAACACTAAACATTTATGCCAACACTAAACATTTATACCAACACTAAACATTTATACCAACACTAAACATTTGTACCAACACTAAACATATATACAAACACTAAACATACATACTAACATTAAAAACATTTATACCAACACTAAACATATATACCAACACTTAACATTTATACAAAAACTAAACATTTATACAAAAACTAAACATTTATACCAACACTAAACATTTATACCAACACATAACATTTATACCAACACTAAACATATATACAAACACTAAACATACATACAAACAATAAAAACATTTATACCAAAACTAACACTAAACATACAAACACTAGCACTAAACACATCTACCAACACAAACACTAAAATATTTATCAACACCAACACTGATATATACAGTATATACCAATAGAAATAATATACTTCCATACAAACAAAATATAAACACAAGGACAGAGGTATATACACACATGCACTAACATACACACATAATATTTCTTTATATTTCTATATATGTTTCTATCGATCTATATTGATAATTGGAATGAAGCAGAGGTCAAAGAACCACACCCAGTTGAACCAGAAGTTAAAGAACCACATCCTGTTGAACCAGAAGTTAAAGAACCACATCCTGTTGAACCAGAAGTTAAAGAACCACCAGTTGAACCAGAAGTTAAAGAACCACATTCAGTTGAACCAGAAGTTAAAGAACCACATCCAGTTGAACCAGAAGTTAAAGAACCACACCCAGTTGAACCAGAAGTTAAAAAACCACATCCAGTTGAACCAGAAGTTAAAGAACCACATCCAGTTGAACCAGAAGTTAAAGAACCACATCCAGTTGAACCAGAAGTTAAAGAACCACATCCAGTTGAACCAGAAGTTAAAGAACCACATCCAGTTGAACCAGAAGTTAAAGAAAACCACATCCAGTTGAACCAGAGTTAAAGAACCATCAGTTGAACCCAATAGTTGAACTAGAAGTTAAGGAACCACATCCAGTTGAACCAGAAGTTGAACCACACCCAGTTGAACCAGAAAAGAACCACACCCAGTTGAACCAGAAGTTAAAGAACCATATCCAGTTGTCCAGAAGTTAAAAAACCACATCCAGTTGAACCAGAAGTCAAAGAACCACATCCAGTTGAACCAGAAGTTAAAGAACCACATCCAGTTGAACCAGAAGTTAAAGAACCACATCCAGTTGAACCAGAAGTTAAAGAACCACATCCAGTTGAACCAGAAGTTAAAGAACCACATCCAGTTGAACCAGTAGTTAAAGAACCACATCCAGTTGAACCAGACGTTAAAGAACCACATCCAGTTGAACCAGAAGTTAAAGAACCACATCCAGTTGAACCAGAAGTTAAAGAACCACATCCAGTTGAACCAGAAGTTAAAGAACCACATCCAGTTGAACCAGAAGTTAAAGAACCACATCCAGTTGAACCAGAAGTTAAAGAACCACACCCAGTTGAACCAGAAGTTAAAGAACCACATCCAGTTGAACCAGAAGTCAAAGAACCACATCCAGTTGAACCAGAAGTCAAAGAACCACATCCAGTTGAACCAGAAGCAAAGAAACCACACCCAGTTGAACCAGGAAGAAGAACCACATCCAGTTGAACCAGAAGTTAAAGAACCACATCCTGTTGAACCAGTAGTTAAAGAACCACATCCAGTTGAACTAGAAGTTAAAGAACCACATCCAGTTGGTAGTTAAAGAACCACATCCAGTTGAACCAGAAGCAAAAGAACCACATCCAGTTGAACCAGAAGTTAAAGAACCACACCCAGTTGAACCAGAAGTTAAAGAACCACCAGTTGAACCAGAAGTTAAAGAACCACATCCAGTTGAACCAGAAGTTAAAGAACCACATCCAGTTGAACCAGAAGTTAAAGAACCACATCCAGTTGAACCAGTAGTTAAAGAACCACACCCAGTTGAACCAGAAGTTAAAGAACCACATCCAGTTGAACCAGAAGTTAAAGAACCACATCCAGTTGAACCAGACGTCAAAGAACCACATCCAGTTGAACCAGAAGTTAAAGAACCACATCCAGTTGAACCAGTAGTTAAAGAACCACATCCAGTTGAACCAGAAGTTAAAGAACCACATCCAGTTGAACCAGAAGTTAAAGAACCACATCCAGTTGAACCAGAAGTTAAAGAACCACATCCAGTTGAACCAGAAGTTAAAGAACCACATCCAGTTGAACCAGAAGTTAAAGAACCACATCCAGTTGATCCAGAAGTTAAAGAACCACACCCAGTTGAACCAGAAGTTAAGGAACCACATCCAGTTGAACCAGAAGTCAAAGAACCACATCCAGTTGAACCAGAAGTCAAAGAACCACATCCAGTTGAACCAGAAGTTAAAGAACCACATCCAGTTGAACCAGAAGTTAAAGAACCACATCCAGTTGAACCAGAAGTCAAAGAACCACATCCAGTTGAACCAGACGTTAAAGAACCACATCCAGTTGAACCAGAAGTTAGAGAACCACATCCAGTTGAACCAGAAGTTAAAGAACCACATCCAGTTGAACCAGAAGTTAAAGAACCACATCCAGTTGAACCAGAAGTTAAAGAACCACATCCAGTTGAACCAGAAGTCAAAGAACCACATCCAGTTGAACCAGACGTTAAAGAACCACATCCAGTTGAACCAGAAGTTAAAGAACCACTCCCAGTTGAACGAGTGAACCGTGGCGAACCAGGATAACCTGCCAGATACTGACACTAGTCCTCAAGGGGAGATGAGTGAAGACCTAGGATTTGATCAATACTGGGAGGTAATTCTTCTTTCTCTCATATATTACCTGTTGACGTGATGATGAGGGTAGAAACGATGGCTTCCTCTTATTATTATTATTGTATTTGTCATTATTATTATTATTATTATTATTATTATTATTATTATTATTATTATTATTATTATAGTTATTATTATTTTTATTTTTATTATTATTCATATTATTATTGTATTGGTTATTATTATTAGTATTACATTTGTCATTGTTATTATTATTATTATTATTATTATTATTATTATTATTATTATTATTATTATTATTATTTTTGTTATTATCATTATTATTAATTATTTTAATTATTATTTTTATTATTATTATTATTATTATTATTATTATCATTATTATTAATTATTATCATTATTATTATTATTATTATTATTATTATTATTATTGTTATTATCATTATTATTAATTATTATCATTATTATTATTATTATTATTATTATTATTATTATTATTATTATTATTATAGTTATTATTATACTTGCTGTTATTATTGTTATTATCATTATTATTAATTATTATTGTTATTATCATTATTATTAATTATCATTATTATTATTATTATTATTATTATTATTATTATTATTATTATTATTATTATAGTTATTATTATACTTGCTGTTATTATTGTTATTATTATTAATGTTGCTCTTATTAAGTATGGTAAGAATAACAAAGAAAGTATATAGGTTGAGTTTATTGCCATTAATCTTGCCTTAACAATACTTGAGGAAAATTATATTATGATAAACATAATTACTACTATTGTGATAATGACAACAATAATATAATAATAATAATAACAACAATAATAATAATAATAATAATAATAATAATAATAATAATAATAATAATATCAACAGATGTGTGTGTGTGTGTGTCCGCCGTAGCTCCAAGACCATGTAACTTACAGACGGGACACTTTACAAAAACACTAAGCCTATACTAAGGTGCAGTGTAGATGATAGTGTAGCGGATATAGTATGGAGAAGTGTAGTGGATATACTGTAGGTTATACCGTAGCTGATGTAGTGTATAGACCAGTGGTTCTCAACCTTGTTTGCCCCATGCACCCCTTTCACCATATGTCAGAATGTCATTCCCCCCTCCTTTCCAAGATTGTCTGCCTCAAAAAGTGCATTCCAGATAATATGCATATAATACTGAAAATCCTTTATTTTTTCCATATTAGTACATATACATTTACAATTTTACATGGATTATTTTTATAGTGGAGTTTTACAAATTAAATGCCAATTGAAAATGTTGATGGATTTATAAAACTTGAATAAAAGTAAAATAGTTTTTTATATTTATAATGAATTACTTAACAGACCAAACTGAAGCATAATGCAATAAACAAAAAGTTCAATAGAATACCAGGATATTGTAAATTTGTAATTAATTTTATTCAGATGAAGATTAGAGTCAATGAGAAACCTGTGATTGTTTTTTCTTCGCCAATTCTGGGATACGCGGAGGAGTGCTTGAAAGGGCACAATGCAGGTCATTTTCTACCTCTAATCTACTACGTTGCTTCGTTTTAATTTGCAACAGAGTTGAAAAGCCTGACTCACAAAGATATGTCGACACAAACGGAAGCAATGCACGGATAGCTCTTTCTGCCACTTTTGGGTAGGAATCGCACATCAAGGGCCAAAATTCTGTGATTGATTTCTCATCGAACATATCTCTTGCTCCCAAATCAGTTCCCCCCCCCCCTCTGAAAACCTGAATTGGGGAATTTCCGGTTGAGAACCCCTGGACTATAGACGATATTGTGGAGGATGTATAGTGTAGGTGAGTGTAGTGCATGGATGTAGTGTTGGTGAATGTAGTGGATATAGTTAATATAAAACTGTGTGTACTGTTAGTCACCTCAGCAGCCTGGTGTAGGTGACTCCCGGGGTGTGTTAACCCTTATAATGTTATATTATTGTTTTGCCTGTTAAAGATACAGTTGGTGACTTGGGTAAATACTATTGCTTATTACACTATTTGATACTGCTACTGCTACCATACTACTACTACTGCTATACTACTACTACTACTACTACTACTAGTATACTACAACTGTACTACTATTTTTTTAACGTGGTCTCCAGCCTCTCCCAATAGCCACATCTTCGCCACCAATTTATTACTTTAAAATCAAATATCCTAATACAAGAGTAGCTACTACTACTACTACAACTCTACTACTACTTTTTTTTTTTTTTAATAACGTGGCCTCCAGCCTCCCCCAATAGCCACACCTTCGCCACCATTTATTTACCTTAATATTAAATATCCTAATACATAAGCAACTATCCTATCTGTGTTAAATTAGTTGAGCCGCAGATCGATGCGGCATTCGGTGACTGTAGCCTCATAGTCGATATCTGCAGCAGTTGACGGAGTAGGGGCAGAAGCTCTCGTTCCCCTGAGGCAGAGCAAAGCCGACCGAAGGAGAGAGAAGGACAGTCGACATCTCATCCAGGCTGTGACATAACTTCTGGGTTGCTGCTTCTGTTCGGAGATCAGCTCCGCGAGTCTGGCGTAGAAACATCTTGCGCTTGGGCCCATCCCACCAGAGGTTGTGAACACTAGCGGAGTGAAGCTGCCTTGATCGACATTTTGGATTCTCTCCCCATATGCCCTTCTCTTGTCGTTCTCGTTCCTCCTATGTGCAGCATCGAGAGCTAGGTTACGGTGACAAACGGCCATGGGATCAAAAATCCTGATGTCGAAGAAGGCTCGCTGTCCCCGCGTCCAGAATCCTCGAGCACTGACGTCCACACGGGCTTCGTTAGATGTGTTTGAAGTCCTGTGCTGGAGGATCTCGCCATCCAGTGGAAGGAGGGTCGGTTCTACCATGACGTCCCGGCAGGTTTCCTTCAACATATTTGCTGTGAGATCCCTTACCTCGTCATGCCTCATGCATATGAAGCCCCCCTTCTTGCAAACCATGGCGTGATCGCCATCATAGGAATAGCCACACACGCATTGGGAGGGCAAACCATCTACTGGCCAACCGTACCTTAGAGCAATGGCATCTGTAAATTCTTGTTTGTTAAGGCTGAAACCATTTGCCCTTATCGGTAACGCAGTTAACCAGTTCGAGGCGCCCACCTCCCCGCGCTTATAGCCACTTTTTTTGTCAAATTTTTTTGAACCCTGCAGCAATAGTTGCTGCAACATGTCATTTGGCAGTGCTGCCGATCTGTTGTAATGGATCTACGGATCTTATTAACTTCGCTGGTGTCCACTTCCCCTGTTGCATTCTGGGCTATTATGTGGTCAGTGAGGGCTGCCGTGAGCTTAAGTGAATTTTGATGTTCAGAGTCAGCAATCTCCTCTGGATTAGTTAGTCCCATCCCTCCCAGTCTTGGTGGAAGTGCAAGAAGTGTTCTTTCTACTGGGGTTAAGTCGTGGTGTTTCACTAGTTTGGGAATGAACTTGACACTGATTGCTTCTTCCAAAGGGTGGAGGAGGGGTCGGATCTCAGGGATGGTACGCATCAGGTAGTTCCAACTCTACTACACTACTACTACTACTACATTATTACACATTATTACACACACAATAATAATAATAATACACAATTTATTTATAAGAACTAAGTAACATATGCCATAGGATACAAGACTAAAATAAATTGCCTCTATTACACGACTCATTACAAACAACTTTATCACATTTACTGTAATTCAGATAATCTCTCTAACAGCAAATAAGTGAGGAAGCCTTCATTATTGCCTACATTAAGATAGTTAACAGTAAACAAGTGTAAAATAATTATTGTCTGCATCAGGTTATTTAGGTAATTATTGATAGGTACACAGTATAATTTAAGTTTCTAAAAAATAGGTAAATTTCTATTTTAATTTGACGTTTTCGGTAATTTTGTCTGCGGCAACACTAGTCGATTATTATACGAATGTATTTGTGTTATTATATATTATTATATTCATTATTATTATTATTATTATTATTATTATTATTATTATTATTATTATTATTATTATTATTATTATTATTATAATCAATATTATTATTATTATTATTATTATTAATATTATTATTATTATTATTATTATTATTATTATTATTATTATTATTATTATTATCAATACTGTTATTATTATTATTATTATTATTATTATTATTATTATTATTATTATTATTATTATTATTATTATTATTATTATTATTACTATTATTTTTGTTGTTATGAACACTGTCACCACTACATACTAAGTTAAGTTATGATGTATATAACTGTAATATACCCTATAATACCTACATTAACATAATTTTGAGTTGGCGGTAAATAATAATATGACGTCATATTTATATATTAGGTGACGTATTGAATATGTAGACTGAATAATGACGTAGTTAAGGTAGACTGATTGATGAACTATATCAACAAGTTTGACTGACTGAATGATAATGAAGTATTAACATGGACTGATTAAGGTTATATAGTAAACAACACAAGAGTCTTTTCCCCAGGTGAGTCTCAGTACAAACTCGTCTTCATTATAGATCCCTACATGTTATTGTTACTTAACTCAGATGGGTTATTGAGAAGTTGTGTTTACATCTATAGTTATATTAGGAGGATAATATTTCACACGTAAGAGAGAGAGAGAGTGTGTGTGTGTGGCGTGATCAATACTGGAGTTATGACATAGTTCACTGCAGCTCTCCCCACACCATCAGCAGCAGCGACCCTCTGTATGGTGTATAGGAAGGGAAGGGAAGGGAAAGAGTATATACATTGCTTAATATCCTCTCTGTCTTATGAATTTTTAATCTGTGAGTATATATTCTGTTGACTGAGAGGTATATATGACCTCTATATAATGTAATGATAAAAAAACGCTAATAATTACATGTTATTTTTGCAACAGGTCCTTCA